AAAATGTTAACAAAGTATGTTAAATTAAAAAAGGGATTCTTATATTAAGACTTAAATTATTAAGACTTAATACAAAATAGTCACATCCGTATGAAATTGAAATTACGTCTCCAATATGAAATTGTTATGATGTTTTCCTTATGAAATTGTTGTTTTTCTTCCATATGAAAGCTTTATGATGTCTTCCATATGAAATTGTTATGTTGTCTTCCATATGAAATTGCTATGATTCTCTTCCATATGAATTTGTTATGATCTTTTCCATATAAAATTGTTAGGATGTCTTCAATAAGAAATTGTTATGTCTTCCATATAAAAATATGATATAATATCCATCACAAATTTTTTCGCTGAAGCACGCCATAACATTCACTTTGAGTGATAACTTTTTTTTTTCATTCCCAGGACCAGGAAGGGTTCACGACCCACATCATGTTCTATGATCCGTCCAATATGTACTTTCACGTCATCGATGAGGTGTTTGGTTTCGGTCACTCCCTCCCCTTACGCAGGTGTCTGGAACCAGGCAACTTCATCCTCCTGCGGAACGCCTGCTGGCACGCCTTCCTGGACGGGACGGTTGGAATTCGCGTCAATGACCTGCAGCATGTCCACTTTGTTTTCATGGACTGACCGCAATAATTGGCTGGCGAACAGTTTGTTTTTTTTCTATTATTATTTGGGAACTGATGAATTATTGAAGATATTTTAATGTAACTATGTATTGTCACTTTTGTATTTCGATATAAAGTTATGTTTTTTTCAAGTGACACAAATGTATCAATGAATGGGGTTTTTTAGATGGTCACTTTACAAGGCGGATATACTTCAATAGTCTTTTTAGTAAACTCTGTTGCGCAGAAGCGTAGCGTGGTGGGGGCAGGGCGGGGGGACAGATGTGCCCGGGCGCCAGCTAGTTAGGGGCGCCAAAATGTGCTTTGATATTATTTTATTGATGAAAATAATGGGTTTGAGAGTTTAAAAAAAAAAAAAGAAAAAGGGGCGCTAAAAATGGATCTTGTCCCCGGGCGCAAATCTTGTCCCCGGGCGCCAAACACCCTCGCTACGCCACTGCTGTTGCGTTCCTTCTGTTAAAAAAACAACAAAAAAAGCATTTAATTCTGTGGAAATTTGGTCAGAAAGTGATTATATATTGTTTTGTTAAAGATTGTAAATGATCATCGTCTTTTCTGATGAGGCTCTCAGCTGTTAAGCGTACGAAGTTGTTTTCCTTTGACGAATGCTGAGTGTACAGCACACATGAGTAAACGTATGTACTTTGACAAAGTATGGAGTCAGGTCAAGAAGTATGTTTTGTTTTGATAAGGGCGTTTCTGAAAGGTTGTGTGGGGGGGGGGGGTTGTTGTTTAGTTTTTTTGCACATTTGAAGTGTTAAGGGATCCCCTTGCAAAATGAGAATTTCGATGACTTTGGAGCGAATGTTTCTGCAACGGGATAAAGTAATCTACTTTTGTCAAAATAAATCATAAATTGATTGTCCTGTTGTTGGTTTTGTTTGTTTGTTTGTTTTTTTTTT